TGATCAAAATAATATAACATAAAGCAGACATTCATTACGGTCTGAAAATATTTCAATATGGAATGTTAGATTTGTTTTGTAAATCTCAGAAAAAATTATAACACAAAGTATTACCGTAAATATTCTCAATATTCCAACAATGAAAATTTCTCAAATTTTCATGATAATACTTCATAAATTCTTGGCAATTTCTTAAAATTCTTATCTGAAAACATGAAAGAAACAGAAATTGCAGAAAGGCATATTTCACATTGAGCTTTAATTTCTAAGCCGTTTTTGCACAGCAAAGCACTGTACACACCTGGCAAATCAACACACAAATTAGGAACATCAACACCACACTTTAAATGTGATTAATACAGCAACTTGCATTTTTGATATGAACAAGAAAAAGAACACTGTTCTTGGAGTACATTTCATTAGAAATTTTTCAATTTCAAAATTAAAAACACACTCATAAAATGGGATACTGTTACTATGTACAATCATATTTGTTTTAATTATGAATGTGGACTGAAAAGAAATGGGTAATGTGAAACCATTTGTTGGCAATTCGGAATAAATTGTGAGAAATAGTTATACTGTTACAGCATAAATATATCAAAAAATTAAAACAATATTTGCAATTTTTTATAACCATAGATATGTTTTTTACTAAAAAATCAATAAAACAACAGTACCTTTTCTTGATAAACTCTTCTCTCTGTGCTTGCCTTAACATGCACACAGCCCCAGCACCCCATTGCACACCCCAACCCTCCTTAGAACAGTAAGAAATTGGAAACACACGATGTGAACATTCGCACATTTGTTTATCTTGCACATCCTTCCTCATAGGACTCTTCTCACCAACTATGTGCACTTGTGCTTATGCTCAAAGTCACATTCCTGAAAATTTCAGAACTGCAAGCACAGGTGCAAAAATCTGTCCTGAGACTCGTATTAAATTGTCTTATTTTTGTACAGTCTTCATAAGTAGTACTGTTGCAAAATGTCTTGCACAAACTATACTTCAATTCTGGACACTCCCCGAAGCTGCACTCACTGCTGTTGTAATAGGAGTTGCTCCAGCTCATCTGCTGAACGCAAAAGGAAGGCCGCTGACTCCCTGTATCCAGTGATAAGTTGCCTCACGGCTGCCATCTCAGCAGTATTCAATTTATGACTAAGCAGAGGCTTTGTCTTCATGCTCAAGTCAGTAGGACCTGAAAAAATTTGAGTGTTCAAATAAGTTTCCTAACTCATTAGTAGAATTTGATTTCCAAAATGAACAAAGGAGGAATAATACAAAATTTGAAGAAAAACTGCATTGTCATGATGAAAAGAATACTTTTCTTTCAATTTTATTGCAAAGAAAATAATGTATCTTTGGAGTAAACGGTCAGAAATCTTTCTTCAGGGAGAAGGTTCCCTTCACACTAACCATGTATAGAGTTTCTTTAAATCAAGTGTAAATAAATGTTAGTTTTAATATTACATTACAAATAAAAGTTTGTATGTAATGCCATAATTCATGTTTATAGGTATATATTTCATAAGGTGCTTAAATCAATTAACATCTCAAAAAAGCATGGAGAATTCTATTAGTGAAATAAAAAATGTACTGGCAACAATTATTAAAAATAAAAGTAAAAGCAAAAGATTCCCTTGTCAGCTAGATATTTTGGTGCTCAATGCTAAGTAATAAAGCAATTTTGCCAATGAAGCTGCAACATCTAGAAGATCTTAATACAACCAATACTATCTGTCTCAGGAAATAGCTATCTCTTATTTGTCTATTGTCAAAAATTTACAACATATGTAGGATAGTATGATCAGGGCATTGTTTCTAGAGCTGCAGAATCTGCTCTCTCAGATTTTTAACCTGTTTATAAAATTCATGTTTTTTCCAGAAAAATATTTAATTTATCACTACCCTACGGTCAAGTAATCAATAACTTGAACATAATTTTTTGTGCAGTCAGAGCAAACTTTTTCAAAGCAGTATTTTGGATTGTAAATGAAAACAAGAAAAGTCTATCACATGTTGAGAATCATTCAATCCAGGCAGGAGATTCCAAATCAGGAACTGCACTTGGACAATGGGGAATTATTTCAAGCCTGACAGTATTTATTAATGTATCAATTAGTTTAGAGCCACAGCAATAACGAGAATCATCACATCAATTTGGTATTGTGAGGAAACTACAATGTCCACCAGATTTAATTTAATTCATTATTGGGGAAAATAATCTTACATAGAGAGTAATCAAAAACAAACCAAAAATTAATGGGGATGGAGGGATAAGGGGGATTGAGGGGGGTTGGAGGGATAAGGATGAGAGAGTAAGGGCAATCTATCTCATAAGGTCCATTGAGCAAATGATGCACGGGTTTCTTATTGCATTCTGAACCATCTACCTCCCACTAGTCAAGTTAAAGATGGCTCCACACACTCGGCATTCGGCGAGTAGAGAGCGACAGCTCTTCCCGCGTGGTGGGGACGGTTTGCTTGCCATTGAAGAGCGCCAAACATTCGGCGCTCGCCCTACCCGCAGTTTGACAGACTTTTGGACACTTCAAAGAAACCGAGTATTTGTCAAATTCCTCGGCTTCTGGAGATCGAACGTGGAGTCGGGTCATTACTCGCCGAGTGTCGAATGCCTGGAGACTATTCACACATTTATAACGTATTTAGGTCAGTGCCGAAGCGAGACAATTTTGGGCTCGGGGTAATGCTGCAACGTAGCTCCCTCCCCCCGGAAAAAGGGAAAGTTGTATCAAGAAAATATGAGTTATTTTATTTAAAAAATAACAAAAATTACAACATTTAAGTTAGAAAAAGGTTTTGGAAATATATCTTAAATAATAGCTTTAAGAAAAAGTATTTAGTGATGAAAAATACATTTTCCACTGTCAGCTTAAGACGCTAAAAATTTATACTGTTTAGTAAGCTTTTAATACAATTTTTATGAAAACTTAGATTACTGCACCGCGACAACAAGAAATGATAACGATTTTCTACAGTTCTGGTTTATAGGTCTATTTTTTTCTATTTTTCTCCCACTTCAGTCCCATCATAGGGCTCCATGGCTTGCAGGGCACAGGGCGATCGCCCGGCCTGCCCGTGCCTAGCGCCGGCACTCATTTCGGTTAATAAATAAAGCAGCACCCACCGTTGCTGAGCATGCCGCCGGACGAGGCGAAGGGCGCGCCGCCGAACATGGCTGGCGCGGCGTAGGGCCCGGCGGTGGCGGCGGCGGCGGCCGTCGCGGCGCGCTGGAACGCCTGCGAGAAGTTGGGGCGGTAGACGCTGGTGGGCGCCGCGGCCGCGGAGGTAGCGCTGCCGTTGACGCTCGCCATGGACGCGCTGGTGACGGCCGCCACCGCGCTCGCC